ACGATTTAGACTCATTCTTTCTTATTTACCCATATCCAATTAGTCTCCAGGCCTGCAGATATCTTCTTATTTCAAATCAACCCATAGCCCAACCCCAACTGTGAATGCTCTTCATGGCTCTGGGGTTGATTCTGACTCACATCCACCCTATTAGGCAGAGCAGAACTATCCCCATGGAGTGTGTAAGGCTGTGAATCTTCCCAGAGCAGACTGTCATGTCTTTCTCCCAAGGAGTGGTCGATGGGTTCAACCACTGACCTTTCATAACTGGACGAGGACTCCCCCAGGACTATATGGTAAAAGTTGTTGTTGAGCTGATGCATAGTGAGGGGCCCTATGTATAACAGATTGAAAACACTGCCTGGTTCTGTGATAGAGGTCAATAACAGAGCTCAGCTGACTGCTGTCAGACCCTGTCCTTGACCTTGACCTTTCACTTACCCATTCTCTTCTCTCAGAGCTGGCTTTCTAAAATGAGTATCTGAACATATCATTTCTCTCTTTAAAATGACTTAATGGTTCCCTCACGTTCAGACAGATTTCTGAACTCTTTAACAAAAACATGAAAGATCCTTCTTGATTTGACCTCTACAGCCCAATCTTGAGTTTATACCTTGCGCACAATGTATATCTTCGTCAAGCTGAACTATCTGAAGACCTTCCCAGATTACCATATTTCTTTTACTTCTATGTTTTGAGACATATGACATCATCTTGCCTTTATTACCTCAAGCAACTGCCGAACTGATTTATTTTCCAGAATTTGACGAAAAGAACACCTTGTGTTAGAATTTTTCTGACTCAGTGATGTCATCAAACCTAGCAGGGTTATAAGAATCTTCTAGACTTTTCAGTTTCTTCTCGGTCTACCTCCAAAGCTTTATGGAATGCTGTTATCAACAGACTCATCTGAATCCTCAAGGCCAAGGGATGACAAATTAATCTTCATTTTAACTTCAACTGGTAAAAGATCCGGCACAAAGTGGATACTCAGTAGGTGCCTGTGTAGTGAATGACTGAAAATAGATAATTCTTCAACACAGTGATAAATTTTTTAACCCAATTAGACATCAGTTGTTAGAACTGCACTTGGATGGAAGTCTAATGGATATAACCTGCCACTTAGAAGGTAAATTAGGCTGATGCTTGTATAAGTGGTCAACATAAGACTCAAAATCCAAAGTATTGGCATGTGGGTATACGCATGTGAATTGTGCTTTAAGATAATGTAATAATTTCCCAAAGAAATACAAACATTGTCCTCAATTTGAATTCCCAGAATCTGTGTTCATATTTACCAATCTGCTTATAATGGTGAATCATCATCAGATTGCCATAAGCTAGGTTTAATTAACTTGAAAACATTTTTCTAAGAGCTTCTGTTCTTCTAACTTAAGCTCTGTTAATTTCCTTGGCTACCACAATAGAGTCCAAATCTAGTGACTATAGTCTTTTTTGTGGTGCCAAACCATTCATTATAGATATCTAAAACCAGTATTCACATGCAATGATACAGTCTTTATTTCTTTTGTCACCAAATCTATAAACTTCAATTGTCTAGGCTTCTGAAGCTTTTTCACAAGTGGCAAAGCTTAAATGTCACAGGCTAATATTCTAACAACATTTCTATTAGTTGTCAGGATACCAGAATAGTTTGTAATGGAAAAGAATATAAGCCAAAATATTTACATACAGAGAACAGTGGGAAGTTCTAGATGGTTATTCATTACTTTCTAAACGTAGTCTGTGCCCTGGCCTAGAATGCTTGGCTTCCTTTTTGCCACTCAGCAGCAAAGAAAGGGAAGTGAGAGAAAGGGTTAAAGGATCCCTGTCTTACCTTACTGATCTGGGTTGCTGGGAATAACAGAGGTTAAAATATTTGGTTAGTTAAGGAGGAGAGTTGACATTTAAACTGTTCTCTCCCACCGCACTGACATTTTGCTTTTTATTTTTCTATTGAAAGTGTGTAACTTAGGTGTTTATTTGTTCATCCTTTTAAGGTCTATACCCCCGTTTCTTTGACAAAATCTTTGTTGCTCTCATTACTGAATTCAACACACACAATGACTGCTCGAAGGAGAAGGTGAGTGAAGGGTCCAAAGGCTGAAACCGATGGACCATGCTGCCTCTCATGGAAACAGATTCTAATGCAAGCCTCTGGGCAGAGAGGAGTCTCAAAGAAGGCTGAAGCAAGCCAAGGGAGAACAAACTGGACACGGTGGCCACCCTCGGCCCCCCACGAGGAACCATCAGCCTTAGGGGAGGAAAATACCTGCTCGGGCACTACTGTTCCCAAACACTGCATTGTCCGTTTAATCTTCTTTTCTTTCTTTTTTTTTTTTTTTAAACATTTTATTAGGGGCTCATACAACTGTTATCGCAATCCATACACACATCAATTGTGTAAAGCGCATTTGTACAGCATTCTCAAAACATTTTCTCTCCACTTAAACCCCCATATTAGGTCCTCATTTTCCCCTCCCTCCCCACTCCTCCCTCCCTCATGAGCCCTTGATAGTTTATAAATTGGTATTTTGTCATATCTTGAAGATTTCATTAACAGAATCACAGCATGATTTCTTTCAAAGTAAATGCATGCTATCTGCGTTGTGCTATGGTTGACACAAACTCAAAGATGAGTTTGTTCTTTATAACACTATTCCTATGGCAAAATGGACCAAGGCGTCGTATCAACGATTTTGTCCAGCTCTCAGTTCTGTTGCCTCCTCTCTGCTCCTCCTCTTCATCCACATCTGTGACTGGCTTACTCCCTCCTGCTCACCTCCCACAGGTGCACACCGAGTACATAATTTCTGGAATGAGAACTTAAACAAGCTCACCGAGTCTCATATCCAGTTACCATGTCCAATAACCCTTCACTAATTGTTGCTCAGATACATTGAGCGCACACCATTCTTCCTGGTTTCTCTCCATGTCCATTCACATGTTCACAAGTGCCCCCCACACCTTTCATCTGGAGGCCCTGGGGAGTGCACCTGATCAAGGCGCTTGTCTGCCGTCTGTCGTGAAATAGGAAGTTCAATCTACCCAGAGGGGCCTCCGGGAAGAAAGGCCTGGTGATGTACTTCTTTAACAGTCAGCCACTGGAAGCTCTGAGGCCACTTCAGTATGAACTGGAATCACCTTGCCAGCTGTCACTTTCCAGCTGTTCTTATGGAAATCCTGGTCTGACAAAATTGTCTGCTGACTACAGTATTTCCACCCAAATGACACCTGCCGTCTATGTTTCTTTATCAGGCAAGCCCTTTCTGTCTCCACACGCCTCACCCCCCACCGAGGTTATTGTCATATTGCTAGCGTGTCGAGGTCTCGAGTTGGGCTGTGATCTGCATGGTCGACAGTTTGAAACCACCAGCAGCTCCACAGGAGAAAAACTGGGCTGTAGACTTCCATAAGCACTTCCAGTCTCAGACCCTCCCAGGGGGTCACGAGGCGCCAGCACGGGCTCAAACCCAGTAAGTGAGAGGACTTTTGGTAAAATGTGAACTCTAGTTCAGTGTGTAGCTCATCCCCTGCCTCTAAAGTCGTTCTTTTCATTATTTTATTCTTGAAAAACTTCATCATCAAAGAATAAAGCTTGCTTTTCATATTTACAGTCACAAGACACCTCCTACACAAACCCTTCAGTACTTCATGATTGCCCTGTGCATCGGTGCCATATTTTAACATATGTTAATGAGCTTCCTTCTGCATGCTTCACAACCCTGCGAGGAATGCACTGTACTCATCTGCTCCTGCAGATGCAGAGGAAGATTTTCAGAGATGTGAGGGTTATACAGCTGAAATATAGCAGCGGTCATCTTCGTCCTCACCATCGGACTGCATGTCCAATCCATATATGACATAAATAGCAATATATCCTGAACTATTATTTCATTTCCTAACCCAGTCCAGAAACTCCTGTCTTCTCCCATGAAGATGGCAAATGAAGAACAAAAATTATATCTTAGAACTTATTTACCTCTATATAATCTGCTTTATACTTGGTGCAATAACCCTACCTAGCACAAAGGGTATGGTAGACCAATCATCCTCCATGAAAATATATTCATGTTTTACCACAGAGTTTTAGCTGGAACACTTTCCCATTTCCTTTTCAATTAGGTGTGATTAAGTCCTTGCTAACAAATTGTATAAACTAGTACACAAAATGTTGAACTTGTCTTAGAATCACTCAGCCAATAAATATAGTTCAGGACATAATACACAAGGTAAGAGTCCAATGAGTATTTATTAACCAAGTGATTCAAGTCCCTCTACCCCATGAAAGAAGCTTTGCTTAGACCTCCTCGCTCCCTCTAACATCAAATAATTAGGTTCTGGGCCACTCAGCAGAACGCTTTATGATAAATTGTAGTACACCCTTAACTATCATATCATACCCTGACTAAATTATCACTTTAAAAAAAATAGAAAAATTCTCTTTGAACAAGTATGATTGATGAATTAAATGAAATCTGCTGATCTTTATATGTTGACTGTGAGTGCTAGGATTAAAACAGGGCAGCAAACTGTGATTTCTAAAATGCATCGGAAGTTAGGAGTCACCTGGGACACTTGGTATAAATAAATGATATTAAAGATTTAGATTTAATACTGCCTCATCATATGCTTCTCTGACCAGTTTTTATTGCACACATGTGCCCAGATTGCAAGCTACAAAACAATGTAAAAGCGGCATCGCCAGCAACACACCATGATGTTTGCGTTCATCCATTGTTTGTGTGGACCTAACTGCCTGCGGTTGTGGTTCAGGGCCCATGCAAATTTCCTGCTAGCCAAACTCTTCCTGGCTTTTAAAAGATCCAATATTTCCATGTTTTTTGCTGTCCCACAAAGAACTCCCACAACATTCAATCCTCAAAGCTGGGGGTCACAGGACAAACATGGAGCGTGTGAGAACAGAAATCCAAGTAGCCAAAGAATCTCAGGACAGGAAAAGAGCCTCATCCCTCAGCGTTGATGGGCCAGGTACTCACAGGTTCTCCGCGTGGTCCCTCCGGCCCCTGAGCACCTGGTGGTCCTGCTTCTCCCTTGTAAATGAGTTGATACAAAGAGATAGAGAAGTCCATTTTCTTCTACATTTATTAAAACAATACTAAGCACATTAGAAACAGAGAGGACAGTAGAAATTATTTCTGGATGAAGTAATCCAGTATCAAGAAATGTTTTCGATGAAAACAGGTAATTGGGTTAATTTATAGCATAATCCTGGTCTGATACATTCATGTTTCAGGAGAGTGTTTTAATGTTCAATCTAAATATGATCAAAATACCTTGTCATTCTTTTTCATATTTATTTTCATTCTCATTTTAAAATCCATTGCTTTTGTTTGTCTGTTTTGGTTTGTTTGTTTTGAACCTAATTTGTCTTGGCTCCCAAATAAAAATCAAAATGAATTTTCCTTACACATGGAGCTATTGATAAATTATTTCTTTAAAGTATTTGGTACTTAAATTTAGTATCTACTTACTTAAAATAAGCACTATAACATATATTTTAGGTATCTTTAAAAATTATAATAATTTTCAGCTCATTTCCCCATAAATTCCTATGATCAAGTTATTTAAACATTATATTTCCTATCCAAATTTTAGAATGTAAAACACCTTTTTTCAAAGGAAACAATTACTAGCATATACAATACACAACAGTCACAGGTCAATAGAATTTTTAAAATGCATAGCTAAAAATAAACTGTATATACAATGCGCAGCTCAATGAAACTGTCAAAAAAAATCGCCTATTGAAATCCACACACACCTTCAAGCATCGAGACAGTTTGAGAATGACCAGCAAGAGCCGTGTATGTTTCTAACCAGCCAAGTGCTGTATCACAAGCAAAGATCACCGCAAACAATTATGTCACTCTTATGTTATGACAGCCAGAATATTGTATTCTAGTTGAGAGTAAGAGAGAAAGAAAAATAAGAGCATTTTTCTTGTGAATATCTCAGGTGCTTGCTATAAAATGGGTTTAGGACAGAGAGCCTTGGAACGAAGCGTATTCCAGCGCTGTTCACAGTTGCATATCCTATAAATTCCCCTGGAAGGTAGAAAATGAACCACATGGAGAAGGCCCAAGAAAACTTAACACAACCAGAACTTTAAAAAAATTCAACCATATCATCTTATATAAACACTAATTTTCCCACTTTCATGATTTCTTTCATTTCTTTAAGAGTGAAATGTCAGAGGAAGCCAAGTCTTTCATGGGTCTCACCTTATTACAAACATAGATGGTCATTTGCAGATAGAGAAAGCTGTGAAAAATGTTTTCCTTAAATTAACTAAACTGAGAGGAAAAATTCCCTCTTGCTTTAATTCTCTTATATTCATACCATACACCAGATTTTTTAAAAAAATAAATTAGTCCTGGGTTATTTTTCCCCTGAATCATAAGAACCTCTGTCTTTAACCCACAGAACAAACCAAAAGATTATCAAATAAACCCAACTTCATTTCCAATAATTTTGTACTTAATACATGAGTTCACAATAGGCTCCAAATACATTTTAATATCTTTCCTAATTTTATCTCATGTTCAAATGTTTTTAAAAAAAGGTTAAAAATATCTAATATTGGTACATTTTCTCTTGCTCGCTCACAAGACACAGAGCTCATATACACCTTTCTGTTTGATAATTGGCGACTAAAAGGGTTCTTTCTGTCAGCATGTGATGGTGATAACAAAGGCACCTTGGTGGCCCCGTGGTTAAGACAAAAGCAGCAGTTGGAGCCTACCAGCCATTCTGTGAGAGAAGGGAGAGGCTGTACCTGTAAATATCCCCCCAAAACAATAGATCCACCGCCGCTGAGTCTGTTCCAACTCATAGCAACCCTATAGGATGGGGTAGAACTGCCCCTGTGGATTTCCAAGAGTGAAACTCTACTGGAGTAGAAAACCTCATCTTCCTCTCACAGTGTGGCCTGGTGGTTTTGAACTGCTGACCTTGCAGTTGTTAGCAGCCCAATGGATAACCTATTTGGCACCAGGGCTCCTGAGACAGCCTGGAAACCATGGGAGGGGGTGGGGGACGGTACTAACTGCTGTTCTATGTGATCACGATGAGTCTAAATCAACTAGAGAACACGGAGTTGCTTCGTTTGTCTGATTTTAAACTATCCATCAGAATGACCATGTACCTTCGGGTTGATCTCTAGGGCAATGGGTCAATGGTTGGTACTTTGCAATTCTCTTTTGTTTTAATTCTCCCATACCGATACCATACAACTGTTAAAAAAAATGTATTACATTGAAGAGTATCGGGTTGTTTTTTTCCCCTGAATCATGTTAGGACATCTATCTTTTACCCACCAAACACACTACTCAACCTTCTAATCTCCAGTAATCTTATACTTTATAATAAGAGTTCACTATAAAGTCCAAAGAAATTCTAAAAATTTACTCATTAATTTAATCTCAGGATCAATTGTTAAAAAAATTTAGTTTAATATTGGTGTATTTTCCCTGATGCTCACTCATAAGCTATATAAACCATACACACCTTGAAACCTGGACTACCCATTAAGCCATCTTTTCCATGTCTTCCCGGTTCTCCCTGAAAAACACATACATGTCTTTTAGTACTTGTTTTGTATGAATAGTTTTATTGTTTAATATAGTATTAAAATATCCCAGAACTTTTGTACAATCAAACTCACAGCATGTCCAGGAAGGCCAGGAAAACCAGAATTCCCTTTTTCACCCTTTGCACCCTGTATTACAAATGAATAACAAAACAAGCACCCTTTACAGTCATGCTTGAGAGTTACAAACCAAACGTCAATAAGAAAGCTAGTAAGTTAGCTTCATTATTCTGTGGCACAATTTTTGGAAATACAGCTTGTGTTGGCTAAGGAACTTTTAACAAAGCATTATTTTATGAGCCCAGTGCACACGGTGTTAGACATTTAAAATGTTGATAAATGCAGAATTATTACAAACTTCTAAACATCAAAACTACCTTTGGGCACAGTTTAAAGTAATTGTTAGTTCAAATGTACAAAGAATATAATCTTCCATCATTGTGAGAAAATAGAAAGACAAACTATAGATAATCAGTTAAAACATTTTTAAGCAACAATTTACAAGGAATGTCTCACTGTAAATATTTTTAAAAGTTAAAAATGATCAAGAACACAATGAATTCTTATAGAACACTATGCATCACCTATCCACCATTGGTAGGCCTGCTGGTATTTGCAATACCAGGGGCATGATTTTCAACATCACTGAAACAGAGAGTCACCACTGTACATGAACTGACAGATGGGGGTGAGCCATGCGTAACAATCCTACGCTAGCTTTCCCTTTTCTCTTCGTTCTTTACAAGGCTGGGAGGGGGTTGCACCAAGATGAACCCTACACCATTGGCTGGATTTCAGGTTAAAAGGAAAGACCAATATAAATCCCTTAGGATCCGTACTTCCCTTTTTGCCATACAGTCCAGGTGATCCTTTGTCTCCTTTGGGACCCATGTCACCCTGAAAGAGGAAATGTAAGTGTTGAATTGTAGAGAAACCGTACTCTTTGCCTTATAGCTTACAGAAAAAAACAGTACAGATGATATTGAGTTTAATATGGCAAAGGAACAATAAAATGATTAAATGCTTGTTTATAATAGCCTCATTTTCCAAGTTTATGAAGTAAAATACGGATACGTAACATTATAACATAAATATAATTTTTAGCTGATAGTTCAGAAAATTTGTATATGGTATAAGTTACTCATCCATTTTTATTTATTATAAAATCATGACTGGAAATTTTAAAGAAAATTTCAATTTCTTATGAACAATGACAGTGATATTAATCCGATAACCGTATATACTCAAGTATAAATTGACCCGAATATCAGCCAAGGCACCTAATTTTACCACAAAAACTGCATTAAAATTGTACTGAAAAATTCATCTTATACACTAGTATATATGGTACTTACTTGAATCTAGTTATATTTTACAAACGAGCGTTTATATGAAAGAAATTATGCTATCATTGAATTTAAACGAATCAGACATCCTCAACCTTTGATCCTGGCACCCCATGAAGTCCAGAAAACCCAGGAAGTCCACGGTCACCCTGAAAGATGAAGCAGAAATTAATAATTTTTAAACATTCACCCTGCGCAATATCTCCATGTAAAGGTGTTCATCGAATGTTCCTTCTCACAGTCCATTAGAAAGCATCCTCAGTTAGATGCATTAAAAACATTAAAACCCTCTCTCGTTGAAAGACCAATGTCCATGTGTGAGGATTTCCTTCATGGTCAGTGAGGGAGGTATTTTTGAGCTTGAGAAGTCTTACCAAGAATCCCGACAGCACTCTTAGTAAGCAGCCGCCTATTCTGATAAGGAACTAAGCACTGAAGCTACGTGGCAGGACTAACTGACATCGCTCTGGAGGAAGGCATGCTCTGGCTCAGTGTCGGTTAAAGGACTGAGAGTCACACCCTAGGACGCTACAGATTTTTTTTTGATTGCTGGTCTTATGAATTGTTTACTTCTGTTATGAAGATGAAAGGCTCTGAGTTATCTTCAAAACAGGAAAAATCCTGGCAGTTAATATTTATTACATACAGGTCTAGTACTTTTTGAAAGAGAAATAATGGGTGTTTGTTGTCTTAGTTTCACAATCATTTTTTGTTCCTTTTTAACAACAGTTTCACTAGCAAAGAATTCACATATCATACAATTCAGTAATTCAATCACATCAAGGGGAGTTGTACAATCATCCGTACAATTAACTTTAGAATGGTACAATGATGACACCTGTAAGGACTTTCAATATATTTGTCATTAATCAATCTATATAATATTTTTAATGTTTAGTATATGTAATATCCTACAGCAGAGACTTATCTCGATTTTTCATTGTTTATATGGTTCTATTTTTGTGTTATGCCGTGATAAGATAAAGTGACCCTGAGATTACTGTTGGGAAAGCATTGGGCACTAAGCACAATATCAGTGGTTCAAACCCACTAGCCATTCTGTGGGAAAAAGGTGAGGCTATCTGTTTCCACAATAATTCATACCCCTGAACACCCTCCATCAGGTTGTATGAGCTGAAATCGACTGGATGGCCATGGGTGTGCTTGTTGTTCGGGTGGTTAGGTGCTATCAAATAAGGTGATTTTTTTTGGGAACAGATTTCCCCATTTAATTGACTGCTGCCTCCAGGGGCATTGAATCTGGATCCAAGTAAAATGAAATGTTTGCTTTTCATGATGTTGCTTATTGGTCCAATAGGGAGAATTTTTGTTTTCTTTATTTGTTTTGCCATTAACTTTTTGTTTTCTACCAAGCTTCTCATATTATCTGCTCAGTATACAGACTGGATAAGTATGGTGAAGTCATTTTAAACCACACAATCTACACTTGTTCTGTTGTGATGACTGCCTCTTGGTTTATGTACAAGTTCCACATGAGCACAATTGAATGTTCTGGAATTCCTATTCTTCATAATGTTATCCATGAATGTGTTATGGTCCACAAGGTTGAACGCCTTTGCATAGTCAATAAGACAAAGGTCACCATCTCTCTGTGTTCTCTACTTTCAGCCTATATGACATAACTAAGACATTCCTCATTCTAAACCCTCCCTGATTCCAGCTGGATTTATGGCAATTCCTATTGATATACTGCTGCAACCATTTTAAAATTATTTTTAGAAAAATTTACTTGAATTTGATATTAATAACAATATTCAATAATTTTCACACTCTGTTAAATCACATTTATTGTTGAAAAAAATATCCCAAAATATCCACTGCCATTGGGTTAATGCCAACTCATAGCAACCCTATGGATAGAGTAGAGCTATCTCTCTGAGTTTCCAAGGTTATAATTCCTTACAGGAATAGAAAGTCTCATCACAGAGCCATTGGTTGGTTTGAACTGATAACCTAACATGAAGATAATAGCTAATTAGTCCACACAGCAGTACAGAGGATTCAGGTCAACTCACTTTCTTGTAACAGTTAATATACTGGAAGTCCTTCAACTCACGTGGGCTGCCAAGTCCAAGGTCAAGGAAGCAGACAGCAGAGTCCTCCCTGGGGTGAGACAAGCAGACTCCACCCACAGGCAGCAAGCAGCACTTCTGTGGGTCACCAATAGTCAGTAGCTCAGGAGCTTAGTGAAGCAGGCCCACATGGGATATCAAACACAAGCAATGCAAGGCAACGGAATCCACCAGCCTCATGCTCAAGTGATGGAAGCACCAGCAGCATGGCGAAGCAGCTGTTGAAAAAGCCTCAACCCAGTGGTGTGAGTGGCGATACTGGGAGGGTAGAGGGAGGGTGGGTTGGAAATGGGGAACCGATTACAAGGATCTACATGTGACCTCCTCCCTGGGGGATGGACAACAGAAAAGTGGGTGAAGGGAGAGTCGGATAGAGAAAGATATGACAAAATAATAATTTATAAATTATCAAGGGTTCTTGAGGGAGGGGTTTGGGGAGGAAGGGGAAAAATGAGGAGCTGATGCCAGGGGCTTAGGTGGAGAGCTAATGTTTTAAGAATGATGAGGGCAATGAATGTACAAATGTGCTTTACACAATTGATGTATGGATGGATGGTGATAAGAGTTGCATGATCCCTAATAAAACAATTTTAAAAAATAAAGAGCCTCAAGCTCTAGTGACATGATCCATGGATTGGCCTGGACCACAGATAGTGTAGCTCACAGGGTGAGACAGAGAACTAGCTACAGTAACAGCACACACACTCCAGTACGCCCTGATCACCAGAGAGCAAGGGGGGGGGCGGTGATTTTCAGAGCCATTTATCTCTTTGTCCTTCAATCAAACTGCAACCTTATTAATCCCACATGTTCCTATTGACAGATTGGCATAATAAACCTACCTATCACACATGTACAACATTATGAAACACTGTCCAGTCCTAAATTGTTCTTATGTTTGAACCCATCAAGGCAGGTGGATTGGGGCTGAAAGCTGAGAATACCAGAAAGATGTTTATTTGTGTTTTATTGACTATGTTAAGGCATTTGACTCTGTGGACCATGCCAAACTATGGGTAGCCCTGAGAAGAATGTGAATCCCAGAAACTTCATCGTGCTCATGAGGATCTTATACCTAGGTTAACCTGGATCAATGATCCATATTTAACACAATACACCCTCATAAATTCCAAGACCATTCTTCTTCACTACTTTGCAAGTTTTATTAATGTTTTTCTGTGCCATCAATGTCTTATTTTCTGGCTAGAGTATTCCCATTAGCCTACAGCATGTCCCATCAAAGCCCAACAAAGTATCCCCTTCCGCGATCACATAGACCCTTTTGTTCTTACGCCACCTCTCTATTTCCCATCGCAACAGAAGTGCTTGAAAAATGTTTGTTTGCTTTTCATTAAAAATGATTTAATAAAATGAGAGTTCTTAGTTGATAATCATTTGTTAGACATGAGTTCTTTCTGATTTTATAGATTCCGAGGAAAAAAATAAGCCTACAAAATCTACACACATCCTATTGTTAGATATGTGAAGGGCAAATGTTAAAGTCAGCAAGAAAGCACATCTAATTTTTATTGGTGGAAATTCCAGCTGTAGGAGTCTTTGGAGAAAATCCACAAAATGAAACCGTTTAGGGGAAAATATCCTAATGGAGAAGAGTATTAGTGTGGAATAATCTCCACAAAGTCACTGTAATGCCTGGAAAAAAATAGCCACAAATCCAGTCATTTCAGAGGTGTAGATTTAACCTTTCCACTTCTGAGAAACATGGAACCACATGTTAAAGGAACAGCCAAAGAGAAGGCTTTGATTAATTCACTAGGTTGCTTTAGATAAAGAACTTTCTAGAACCACATACATATGAAGGCAGAACTTGTGATTCTTGGCTATGTCAAATATGATTTAATTTCCAAAGGAAAATAATCAACTTGAAATAAAATTATTACTGTATTGAAAACAGAAACTTTTGGCATATTTATAAATCTTACTTATCTTACCCAACAGAATGCATGGCTTTGTAAAATTCTTGCACTTCTATTTAAAAGACAGCACAATGACCCAAATTAGAGCAGGTAATTTAAGGTTGATAGAATTCTTGTTATCCTTATATTTTTAAATGAGGCATATCTATCCCCAAGAAAATGTATTACAATGATCTTAATATGAACAAATTTCAAAAGACCTTTTATGAAATGTCCCTCATTCACTCATTCTTGTTTGCACTCATTTTCACATATTGACATTTAGACAGCTCCTCCTCCCAAACCTGGCTGAATTATTCACTCTCAGTGGAGCTGAACCATACAGACAGAGCATGGTGTCTGGATAGCGCCACTGCTCATCTGACATTTATTCACCCAGTGAGAAAAGGTTGCTGGCGAGCACTGTTTGCCGATGGCCATTGACAACCTTCTGAGCCCGTACATCTTGGAACTGAACAACGTGCTCTTCAGGAGTCACCATCAGAGCTTTGTTGTTGTTGGTACCAGCATATCTGTTCCAATCCACACCAACCCTAACACAACTGAAGGAAACACTGCCCAGCCTTGAACCATCCTCTCAGTTGTTGCTTAATCTGTAGCCAGTGTTGCAGCCATTATACTAATCCATCTCCTCGCACCCTTCATACTCTGTGGATGACATTTTTGTAAGCGCACTTTACCTTTGCACCATCTCTCCCTGGTTCTCCTTTGAAACCTGGTAGTCCTTGAACTCCCTAAATTAAGCACAAAATAAAATCCATTAATTCCCTTTTTTCTAGTGCATTAGCAATAAGGATTGTAAAATATATCAGAACCGATCACATACTTGTATTCCCGGGGAACCTGCAACCCCTGGTAATCCTATGATTCCCTGGTATCCCTAAAGAAAGATAAACAAGAAATCACAAACAGTTCATCATATGTACGAAGAGCAGCCCTCCCTTTCAGGACTCCTCCCTTCCACAAATTTCTTACACCTATGACTTTCCTTCTCCAAACGCACTGCAATCGAGTCAATTCTGAATCAAGGTGATCCTAGAGGGCAGGGTTCAACTTCCCCTGTAAGTTTCTGAGGTTGCCCCTCCTTACAGGAGTAAAAAAAAAAAAACATCATCTTTCTCCAAGGAACGCTGGCAGGTCAGGTCTGCTGAAGGCATAGCCCACTACACCACCAGAGCTCAGGACTATGGAAGGGTACGGTGTCTGGATTAGCTCCTAATAAAATGGTTTGGGAAAAAATTAGATATAAAAATGACAAAATGTGTCAAGTATTTAAATGTTTCACAAAGAATTGACATCCTAAGATCTTTATAAAATTCGGAAACAATGTAAAGGGTTAAAAAAAAAAACACAAACAAACCCAAGCCTTATATAACTCTAGACTAATAAAATTATCTCCATACCTGAGAAGGTAAAACATCTTCAAACTACATACTTAATTTCCATCTGAATTCATCTCTAGAACAAAGAGCCATCAATGCCATTTGTCAGATTCAGGCTACACCACATTCTGGATTGCTCAGTTTTGAAAGTGGCTGCTATTAAACCCGAGAGTGAGATGAGCCGCTGTGGCAGAGCACAGCTTCGAATAGGGATCTTCTACCCTTATCTCTGTAACTCCCACCGAATGACTGGTCTATGTGTCACTCATCTAGAGGAGGGATCCTTCATCCTGACCAATCTCCTGGTGATAAGGACAAGCCCTCTTTGAAGCAGGAACCGAAAGAAAAGGCCCAGGGAGATCAGAAGAGCACTTTCCAGATCTCTGTCTGCAGTGGTGGAAGCCAAGCCCAGAGGCACCAGAGATAAGCGTGGAGATAATGGGTCAGGGCATGTATTAGTCTGGGTACTTTAGAGAAACAAATCCACAGCAACTCATGTATAAGAGAGACTTTTATGTAAAGATTAAGTGTGTATCAAGGAAACATCCCAACCCAGTCCTGCCCAAGACCACAAGTCCAACATTAACCCATTAACCCATATGTCCAACACCAATCCACAAAGTCCTCCATCTCACAAAACAAAGGCAATGATGCCGACTGCAGGAGGAAAGCTGAGTCAGTGAATGTGTAAGCATCTCAGCACTGGCAGGGGTCTCCACACGGCTGTTCCAGCACCCAGGGCTGCATCAGGGTAGGTCCATGCGGCTTCTCCTTGGGGATGTCTTGTAGGAAGTCAGTCTTGCCAGCTGAAGCAGGGAACTGCTAAGGCAGCTGCACCCTGGTGTGACCATCACAAAGCAAGAGACCCAAGAACTCTAAAGGCAAGGCTCACTGAGCCATTTATCCCCCTGCCCTTCAATTAACCCCACATGTGTTTATCGGCAGGCTGGCACAATGAACTAACTACCTCGGAGCAAGACTAGGAGTGCCTAGACTATGAAACTGTGGGACAGAGCCAGCGGCAGGTTTCCAGGTCAACAGAGGCAGAGGACAAGGGACAGTGTGGTGGAGAGAGACTTCCCTGTTGGCTGAAGAGAGGTACTGCTGTAGACTTTATCTTTACTATTTACAAATCTGGACTTGAGTAACCTTTTAACTTCTCTAATAAATCTCCACAATTATGAGTATTGTCTGTGCGTTCCGTGTGCCATTGGAACAAGTGATCACACCTGGCATAGGAGTAGAGTGCCAGGAGAGAACAGTTGGTGTCAGTAGGTCACGAAGGATGGAGCAAGGAGGCATGTCTGACTTCTGCCTCTGGTAACTGGGAAGCCAGAGGAGGTCAGTTATAGGCTCCCACACTATGTAAGGGACCATCTGACATACTCTGCTTCATTCCTCACTAGTTTTTATATGCTCTTCAGGAACTGGGCCTGAAGAAAAATATCTCAACTTTTTTCAGCAGGAAAAAAGAGAACAATTCTCCACCCCACACAGAGTAACAAAAATCTCCAAACTTTCAGGCCCTTAGTATTTATGTAGGCCTTTCCAAGGTCAATGTCAAGTTGATTTGGGCAGTCTGGAATCTAAAACCTCTTTAATCTCTGTGCAGTTCCATCTCGTTCCCATCTGACTGATTGGTTCGAGTTTCTGCAGACAGTATTAACAGCGATCTCACCGATGTTCACAATTACATCTTCATGCTTTATGCTTTCAGTTTCTTCCAGAGTCGTGATCACTATGCAATTTCTATCATCTACTATCATCCACTCCTTCATATTCCATTTTGCTTTTCACAGGATTTGCTATTATGTCTTCTCCATAATTTCTCCAAGTCTGCCCAATTCTCAAACATTTCATTTCACAGAGGAGCAATTAGCCTCATGGTCAACCTCTTCATTCTCCGTACAAAACAACATGCCATTTTCAAACCCATCCACAAGATCTTTCTGAACTTCCTCTTTCTAAAATCCACTAGATTATGTATTCCTTTTTGTTCAGGGTCCAGGTTACATAACGTCTATCTTTGTAGCACTGAACACAGTACTTGAAACATATTTTTGTTATTTATTGAACAATGGAAGAATTCACCAGCAAGTCATCCATACTGTACACAATTGTGCAAAATCTCTTTCCCCTAAGAAAGCATACACACGATGTTCAGGCTTGTGTAGCTTCCAATAACAAATGGAAACTTGCAGCCATTCTTTGTGATTTATGTGCTCAAATTCAGCCAAAAGGAAAAAGTGAAGTTAATCTCTCTCCCACTACAGTTATCACTGAATCACAACCAATTTGAGATCAGACAGCCTGTTGCTGAATCTCAGTTACTGCTACCATATGCATGAACAGAGTTTGACTACGTAAATACCATGACCTAGGAGATCTTTTAGAAGGCTACATATACTGTTAGGATTTTGACATGATTTAACACAGGTTGTTATCATTAAATATATACATATATATTCCTAATAAAAATAGCAATAATAATACCCAACCTACAGTATTTATCATGTGTTAGAGTAAATAACTGGTCAATAGGAACTCATTTAATACTTACAACTATCTTTTAACATAAGTTCTAATTTTCAGATAATGCACGTAGAGGCTAAGCAACTTGCCCAAAGTTATATAGCCAGTAAGTTGAGTGAGCCAGTTGATACTCATTAGATTAGAAGTTGCTTTAATAGATCATTCTGTGATGATTCATTCAATACAAAGAGATCCTTCTTGTCTACTTTAAAATTTTTAAATCGTTCAGACATCCAAGTACCCGGAGGAAAGAACTGTTAGTAAAATTCCTCAGAAGAAGCCTGACTCTTATTCAAAAGGGTCATCTACAAAGTTCACATTTAATGAATTATTTTGCTCTCACATATTTTCACAAGTTAGTCAAATGTCATATTTATTCATTTTATAAAGTTGCTCTCTCATAAAAGATGATGGCTGCTGTGTTGCTTTTCATCGCAATGACACCAGCACGGCGCATGCTATAGCACTGTGCTATTTGGGCAGAGGACAGGGACATTTGAACCGGGTAAAGGCACCGAGAAATACCCTGGACTGTGTTCCCAGCTCACCTCTGACTCATTCATGACCTCAGGCAGACTCATCAAGGCCATAAATCCTGGGAGGCAACACAGTGAAGTGGAAAGACAATGAATATTGCAATTGGAGAAGACTTTCTGCTGTATTTTGGCCCTCTCCTTTATGTTCTATGGTTTTTTAAGATAAGTAACATTGCCTAACTAAGCCTTGGCTTCTTGCCATACAACTGAGAGGGGAATGCACATTTCACTTCTGAAAAGAAACCAGTGGAGTCACATGTGAAAGTACCTCAGTGATGTGAGGAAATCGATAAAGGGAATGCCCTTCTCCAGTGTGAAAGACAACTGGTTATCAAACCACGAGGACACTGTAGAGAAGTTTGCAGTACAGTGGACAGCCTCTATAGCCCCCTGCACTATGTTCACACTGACAGTCCCAGTCACTATCATTAGGATTTCACTCTTTCTCTACATCCAAACTGACCGTACTGAAAGCAGGAATATTGCCTGAGTGGACTTTATTATATTTAACCCGAATTGTTTTGGTTGGGGGGTGGGGGTGGGGGTGGGGGTGGGGAGACCTATAATACTGAAATAATAAATTCTTCCCATAAAATGAGAGCTCGATATATTTTGTCAATTCACAGTGAGATGCACCCTTGAAAACTTGGTTACAGAAGAAAACGGAAAAAAAAGATTATTTTTGAAGCTGGAAGAAGTATACTTAGTAACAAAATAGAGAAAAACCAAAACCACATCCAAGCAGGGGATCCCAAGGCAAAGCACCAGAGGAAACTGGATAAAATTCAGAAAAATAAATTTTGGAATGAAAATGAGGAAAATAAAGGTTAACAGGGAGGGGTATTACAACATAGAACAATTTCCAAGAGAAGTAAAGAATTAAACACTAGTTGACTCATAGCAGGGTACAATAAAAGAAGAAAAACGCCCCAAATAGGAAAAAATGTAAACTTTTCATATTGCTGTACTGGGTTTATTATTTTAATACACACATTTCTGACTCGCATTTTTAGGCCGTAACTTCCACATAAACTTTGACTCGCTAATAACTCGTGACTTTTGACATTTTGCCATCATGTATAAGTCCAAATGTGGGGAGTGCGCCCCACTCCTATCCCCAAGATTCCTGACTCTATCTAAGTTTTTCCCATGTTCACAGTGTTTTTTGAAATGAGTCATTTCTAGGAAAAAATTATTCTCACTGCCAAATTGTAGGGTTGCAGAAAAGAATACAGAATCAATTTAATTGTTTTCCATGATTCATAGTTACAGTGCTCCAGGAAAGATGTATAGCATTGAAATGGAAATTTAGGAAATAAAATTCCCAAATGTGCAATAAGTTTAAATATGTTAAATAAATGTACTTACTTTTAAAAAGAATAATATCAGCAGAAGTCATTTTGGAAGTCACCATTCTTTGTAAAATATAA